TTAACCATCTTGAACTATCATCAGTTATAATTTTGTCGTGTTACTTAAAATCATCTTCCAAAGCTAATTTTATTATGTTTGTATCAATATTTTTATGTTCAATTATAGCTTCAGTTTGGAACAGGTATGCTTAAATCGGTAGTTGTCTATTTCTCCTTATTTGTCTAGGGTATTTCCCTAAATCATTGTTAAATGTTCAGTAGGAGAAAGAAAGTTCTAATACTACTTTAAGTTGGATTTTGCAATCAACCACCTTGTCTTTTTTGTTGTTGTTGTTTGTTTGTTTTTTAAGCAACCTTGATGTTTACCATCCCTCTGCCAGCAGCTGTGTTAAAAAGGGATTTCTCCTATTTGAATAAAGAATGGGGGAAATGCCAAGATTAAAAGAAAATATATTCAAGGTCATGAATATTCTTAGTGATTGACTAGTATACTTGCTTTCCAAGATGCAGCAGTAGAATTAGAGTATTTTCCTGCTCATTTGTTGCTCATTTATTTTGCTTTGTAAATAAATAAATACCCACAAAGAAAACTCAGCTGTCCTTTCTGTGGGTAAGTCAAAAGGCAAACCAGAAGAGTGTCTCTGTCTCTTCCCATCTGACCTTTATTGCAGTTATCATCCCTTCCCAACAACTGATGGTGTGTCTGAGGCATCATCTCGACCCTGTCAGTCAAAGAGGCCCGATCTGTGCATCACATTGAGTCTGTGAATGTCCAGGCCCTTTGATGCCCTTTGCTGCTCCTGCATTTGTAGGGAATTTGGTGGTGAGTTGGCAAATGGGACACAGCTGGCTTCTGATTTAGAGAGTGCCTTAAACCAGTTACCTCCTACCTTAACTTGATCATTTAAATGGAAAGCGCTACTGCTCCAACAGAGCAGAAATGATATAAAAACTATTTCTGACATCAGTATCTTGCCTCCTGGATTGCCATGGCTACTAGTGTCTCTAAGGGGAAAAGAAATAAAAAATAAATAAGAACACAGCTTTTATAATTCTCACAAGTGTAAACCCACTTTGCATTACTTAAGAAGCGCTTTAAATGCACAATGACTGTCTTAAGCTAATGACAATTGATGCCAGACCATTACAATAATCCAATGAAATAGAAAAGGGTTTTGCAAAGTGGCAATTTGTGTCGAAATTGTTGACAGCATCAATACATGGTGGGATCTTTACATATAAGTGGGCTACCGCTTTGGCTGAGGAGTTATTTACTTGGCCTTTTATTTGTAAATAATACAGTGTTCTTTTACTTTTTCAGGGAACATCTAGGATAGTTATTAATTAAGAACAAGGACATCCTTTTTCCATAGTGCCAGGATTTGCAAAATCAATCCTGGATGCTGGTCTTACAGGTGTTGGGATTGGGAAGACCTCAATAGGTCATTTAGGATGACAGTATTCTGGAGTTGAACATGCCCGGATCCAGACTATTTGGATGGAGTCCTTACTCTCATGCAAACTGCCAGCAGTTTTGCTTGCCATACCAAATTCTACCAAGACCAGTGTGATCTGGCCCAAGGGCATCTCTCCAGCCTCACTTTATGGTCATCTCTCCTCATTCCCTTCATTCTAGCCCCAGTGCCATCCCTATCCCATTCTGAGGGTACATTTCCTTTGCAGCCTTTCTGTATGAGCTTTTCCCTCTGACTAGCATTTATTGAGCAGATCCAACATGTTAAAGGTGTATAAATAAATGCTTCCTGTGATTATCTTGGTTGATTCTTATACTAACCCGGTGGAGCGAACAATGACATTTGATGGATCAAGAAATGCAGGTGGATGGATGCAGCAGAGGCAGTACTAGAGCCCAGGCAGGTATTGAATAAGCCAACAGCACCCAAAACTCAGGGAACAGTTCATACCCTCCTTTTAAGTTTAAGACTCTTGTAGGGAGATCATCTTTCTGACTATACTTTAAAAGGTAGAATCCATGAGATACTGTTTCTCTTTTCTCTGCTTTGTGTTTCCTTACAGTATTGGCTATCTCCTGATCTCATACTATGTATTTATTTGCTTATTCCTTTGTTCACCCACTAGAATAAACACCTTGTGAAGGAAAGACCTAGTTCTGGTCCAGGTGTCTCTATATTCTTTATACCCATGTCAGCTTCTGATCCGTGTCAAAGAACAAAATGTACTGAAGAAATGAGTTCCGCTAAAATTATATATCACATATAAAATATTGTGTCTTTCAGACATTTACTGAACACGCATTTTGTGCCAGATTTCATGCTGGTTTTTTGGAGATAGGATGATGAACAAAAATGATGTAATACCTGCCTGTCCCAGAGTTTATAACATCAGGGAAGAAGCAAGCAGTCAGAATAAGCATTCTGTTAAGACGACTATAATGCATGTGGGGAAAGCAAGGGTGTAGAGAAAACTACTCCAAGGAGCGATGCGTGTGCTAAGATCAGGAGGATGGGCTGAGGGGAGGAGAGGCAGAGGGAAGGCCTCAGGATTTCAGTATCAGGGATTGAACCCACAGGCACTTAACCACTAATCCACATCTCCAGCCCTTTTCTAATATTTTATTTAAAGTCAGGGTCTCACTAAGTTGCTTAGGGTCTCACTAAATTGCTGAGGCTGGCTTTGAACTTGTGATCCTCCTGCATCAGCCTCCTGAGCCACTGGGATTATAGGCAACTCCAGTGCAGAATGTGTGAGGCCAAGTTCAAGGTTTGAGATGAAGCAGGAAGCAAGGGCCAGGTCATCAGGTGTCTTGAAAACAGTTCCAAAGAGTCAGTACTTCATGGTCTGAGCAATATGATGCCACAGGAGAATTTTTAAAATCAATGTGGTATTTAATATCAGTTTATTGCTGTTAGCTGGGGAAGTTGACAGCACTTCCATTTTATAGGTAAGACAACTGAGGTCCAGAATGACACATTAAAAAAATTGCACAGCTGATTCAATGACAGTGTTGTCAGGGCTCCTAAAGCTTGTCTTTCGCTCTCCTTCCTTCCTTCCTTCCTTTGGATTATCATTCTTGACAAAACAAAGCAAAATTATTGGCTGGGTGAGGTGGCACCTGCCTGTAATCCCAGTGGCTCAGGAGGCTGATGCAGGAGGATCATGAATTCAAAACCAGCCTCAGCAATATAGCGAGGACCTAAGCTACTTAGTGAGACCCTGTTTCTAGATAAAATATTAAAAATGGGCTGGAGATGTGGATCAGTGGCTCAATGCCTGTGGGTTCAATATCCCTGGTACCAAAAAACAAAAACAAAAAAAAAAGAAAAGCACAATTTTTACCCACCATCCTCATCTTTCTTCAAGGAACACACAGGCTCTCATGCAGCTTCCAGAAACCAGTTTCCCTGAGTGGAAGCCAGCTGCTTCAGGGGTGATGGGGCTTGTACATGGACGGACACCATGTGTGCATGGAGCCCCAATTCTGTGCTTTGGGCCAGGAAGCTGGATTTTTACCAGGAAYCTTTTATCGGAAAAGGCGATTCTGGACTCAGGAGAACAGAGCCAACTTGACAAAGTGGAGAGGCAGAGTATTGGTCTGCCCACGCTTTGGGCATGCGTGAGCATTCCCAGCAAAACACAGCTGGCACGTCTAATTTTAGCCTCACCACTGCCTTGAAAAGGGACCCTTTAAGAAAATATATTTTTCTCCGAAACAATTTGTATTATAATGTAGCAGCTGATAGACATGTCAGAACATTATTATTGGTGGGGAAAAAAAACTCTGCCAAGTAATTATGATTTTTGTGGGGTTTTTTTCCTTGTGATGATATCAGTAAAGTGATTAAAGCATCCACGAATCAAGAAAATTCATAAAGCGAGAGGCAATGGGAGAAATGCTGATTTTATTTATAAAGAAGCTAATAAATTTAGGCGATCACTTCCTTTCGTGTTTTTTTTTTGAATGGATGTAAGCATAAGAATGATTATTTCTGATATTATACATTGGTCCATCTACTTGTACAATGTGTGGCTTGTTAGTAACAGCCCTGGAGTAGACCCTGAAATTTCCTCCCTACTAGCATCCTCCTTGTCTTCAGGAAGTGAAAGGTCAGTTTCTCATGGAGGTCCTGGATTTATCTGGCTTTGTGTGTGTGAACCGGTTTCGAAATCACCCCAAACACACTTTATTTCCATTCAACTAGCAAGGTTAGGTCCTCTGTCTTCATTCTTATTATTATTACTGGTCTGGCTTTGCCTTTCTCCTCCTTCCTCCCTCATCCTCTCCTCCCATCCCCTGGTCTTCTATGTTTTGTTCAGCAGTGTGGCTTACCTCAGAACTTGGCAAGAACAGAAAAGAAGGCAGCTCTCTCTCTCTCTCTCTCTCGTGGGGTAGATGGAGGGAGGGATAAGAAATAATCCACCGCCTGCTTTTGAGTTCTCCAGGTTCAGTTCCAGCAGCGGCGGCAGCTTAGCTGCAAAAAACTGCTCTGCTATTCCAGATAGCCAGCAGAGGGAATCGCAACTTTGCTGGCAGCAGGGGTTGAAGCAGCCCTTTTTTTTTTTTTCTTGGAGGAAATACTGCAGCCTTCTGGACTGCGTACGCTGCTCCCTGGAGAGGCTCTCTCGGTTCCACCCACTGGCTGGAAGGAGGGGAAGTGAATGAAAGGACAGGACAAGCCCCGAACACCATGTCACTCTGGGAGGGAGACAGCAGCAACTAAGCTGTGCAAGGTTTTCTTTTTTTTTTTCTTTTTTCCCTTTTCTTTTTCTTTTTCTTTTTTTTTCCTTTCCCTTCTTTCTTTTTCTTTCTTTCTCTCTCTCTCTCTCTCTCTTTTTTTTCCCTTTTTCTTTAAGGTGGGGAATGAGACAAACAGGAGACAGGAAACTGATCTGCAAGGATTCGGAGTTGTGCTAAAAGGACTTTGATTTTTTTTTTTTTTCTTCCTTTTACAAACGCTGGCAATTGACATCACCACAGACAGCCTGCTTAGAGAACAAACTGCCTCATCCCGAGTGGACCCCGGCAGCTGGGAGAAGCCAGGCGAGATCTGAAGAGGCTGTCCGGTTTTTTTTTTTCCCCTGCTGATCTCACTCCCCAACCTTTTTTTTTTTTTTTTTTTTTTTTTTGGTGTGTGTGTTTTTGTTTTGTTTTGTTTTGTTTTGATATTCTTGCCGTGTTGGAACTAGCAAGTGGTGAAGTGGTGGAGTCTCCGAAGCCTCATCAGTCATCGGACTGTCAGGAATAGTGGTTTAAGAGGAAGCTCTTGGCCTGGGGCACTATACCCTGTCATCCAGTTCCCTGCCTCGGAGATAAAGATTCCAGCTACATGGGCAAACGCCTGGATCAGCCACAAATGTACCCCCAGTACACTTACTACTATCCTCATTATCTCCAAACCAAGGTATGGCTCAAGCCACGGTCTGCTAATCAGCGTGGTATCGTTCTGCACTCGGGATGGGAAGCAGACAGGCATGTGAATTACTATTTAACCCTCACCCCTATCACCTCTTCCTGCTTCTTTGAAATGGGTAACATACCAATGGAGTTAATGAGGCAGAGGAAGATAGAAGAAGAAAGCAGCAAACCCCGGAATTGTAGCTTTCTGTTTAAGGAGTGATAATAGTTAGACTCGAGTTCCTTTGTTATTTGGAAGCATAAATGTTCCCTGTATCTGTGGAAGGTCCTTTGCAGAGGGACAGGGATTTTAGAAAGGAGATCACAACGGTGATTATCAGGCACAAGAATATAATTTCAGGGACTTTTTTGGTGAGCTGTTCTTTGTTTGTGGCTCTCAAAGGGTTTTTCCCCACTGGAGAGGAGGACACACCAGGATGGGGGTGACTCAAACTTTTAATCGCTAAGTATGGAATGAAAGGAGGATGTGGGAAGGCATGGGGTACCTACCAAAGTCTCTTTGAGTTTGTTTGGCTGCCTTTGTATGTTTTAGTTGCCTTGCGTACTTTATTTTGTATTGAGGGTGACTAGGATGCCAGAGGCTGAATTTGCTTTCCCATGATGGTCTTCACTTTGGGACGCTCTGTTTTTCTGTGTGAGTCGCCGTCAGGAGGCCTGGGTTCTTGCAAAGGCATGGAATGTAACTGATAATAATTGGACTTGAATTGGTTAACTACTTTAGGCTTTGTGAGTGAGCGTGTGCTTAAATGATCATTAGGGGCCCACGTAACTAAGCAGTGGGCAGTGCCAACCCTGAACTTTATCCTGCAGTTAAGACATGACAGACTCTCAGGTGTGAAATCACTGCTCCAATTTGTCAATTAAATTGGTGGCGGGGGTTGTTTCTGGAGTCACCACCTCAAGTGCATGGATGATATTATTTTGCAGCTGCATTCGCCAGACCCTACCATCTTCTTAATAAACAAATATGCCCAGTGAAGAAGGCGTGCCTGCGTGGTGTGGGCAGCCAGCAGTACTCACTGCTGTGGTTAGGCTTTGGTAATTCATGCTGTAGTTATCTCTCATTTCTTCTTTCTCATCAAACAATGCCCATTTGTAAAGCCGACCAGGCAGCAGACTTTCAGTATTGTATTAAGGATCATTGCTTGTTCTCTTTCTTTCTCCCCCCCCCCCCACTTGCTCTGTGATTCGCCTTGCCCCTCCAAGGTCGACTAGCATTGCTTTTTGCCTTTGTGAGCATTTAGTTTGTGCTGTTGCTGCTTAAATAGACCAGCCCTCCTGCTCAGTGCCTTGAGTTTTAACTCCTTGGGGGACTGAGTAGAGAATGCCGCCTGCCATTCCTCAAGGAGATGGCAAAGCAAGGACGAGTTAAAAAGAGGGAAATTCACAGTCATTTTTCATCCCCCAAAGAAACAAAAACAATAAGCTCAAGCGTTGCCTGAAAAATATTGAACATTCCATCCCTTTTACTCACTTGGCTAAATTTTTCCAAATGTTTCAAAAATCGTGCTTTGTTTGGGTCGTTCTTTTCTGTGATTGTGTTTACCCAGAAGAGAAACTTTAGGTTGAAATGAATGAAATGATTGTTTTTCTGCATGAGATTTAACCTTCTATTAGTAGAAAATAATGAATGATGTGCATATTTTATCAAAGATACAGGGTGTTGTATGAGCTACACTAGTATAGCGTGTGTGTGTGTGTGTGTGTGTGTGTGTGTGTGTGTGTATGTGTTTGGTGAGTGTGTGTGTTTGTGTTGTGGCTAAAGGAGGAGAAGGAAATGGTGGGGGAAAAGAAGAGAGCCTGGAAACTACAGAGGGAGTTTTTAAAAATTGTTTTGGGGTCCTACGTAGTTTAGTGGTATGTAGACAGGCAGCATCTGGATCTTGTTACTTTCAAGCTAACCAAAGGCATCAACTTCTGGAACATTTTTAAAGAAGTTAGATCCATTAAGCATCATAAGCTGATATTCAGGTATTCAGGTTGGGGTGGTAGGGACTGTAAGATCAGCTAGTTTGGTGGCTATCAGCCTAGTTCATATTGATTATTGTGTTGTAAAATTTCCACAGTGCTGTGAAGTTGTTGAATATGAGCCTCTGGAATGACAGACATTATTAATGTTCCTGAGAGCTGAAGATGTGAAACTTGCTCTATTTTGAATCTTGGGTTCAGAAAGGCTGGAAGGAAGTGGCAGTGTGCAATTGTATTTTAACATATGGGGACTTTCTGACAGTGTTAATCCTATACAATAAACCATTCTCTTGCCCAGGGTAAGAAGAAAACAACTGGGTTATTTTCTTAACACTTTTTGCTCCTTCAACATTTATCTCTCTAAATATAATATTTTTAAAGAAAATACATGTTGCTTATATTTATTGGGTAAGTCTGGATATAATCCATAAAATCCACTGTTCTAACCTTGGTTTGTGATTATAATTCAAATTATAAAATCATGGCTAATTAAAATGATGCTAACATATAAAGCATACTCGTGGTTGATAGAAGTAGAATTCTGTAGTTGATAAAAAATCATATTTGGTGATACCACACCTTAAAGTGTTGTCTAAATTCAGGTGTTCTTTTCTTCCCAATCCATGAGAAATATTTGCTGACCTTTGGGGTGTTTCTTGTTTGTTTTGTTTTGGTTTGGTTTGGTTTTTGTTGTTGTTGTTGTTTGGTAAATATGATGGGAATCTTTATTTTAAGGAACAAAAGTGTCTATTGTTATAATTATTCAGAAAATGCAAATAACTAAACTTTCTGTTTAAATAGTGTAACTTTACATACAGTTGCTTTTTTCTTATGGTTAAAATAGAATGAAAATGGCATTTTTTTAAAAAAGGAAAAATGTTTTCATTCCTTTGTGTATATGTGTGTGTGTGTGTGTGTGTGTGTGTGTGTGTATGAAAGTTTTAGGAAATGTGACACTTCCCTGTCCTCTCTGCTCTCATTTCCCATTACATTCAAACTGATCTCTTGACTTTGCTTAGAAGAATAGATACATATTTGCTTAGAAGAATAGATATATGATTTATGTCCTGTCTCTTTGGGTGATTTTCCAATGCTTAAAATGTTTTATATTAGAAAAATCTTCAAGTAAATTAAATAACACAAAAACCCGGCAGTTGATTTGTAGCTATAATTTGTAGTCACATTGCTATAAGTGCTTACTTTTCCATACCTCATATCTGAAAAGATTTTGTTGATTTTCTTTTTAACTAGTATTTTTCCTCCCACCCTCTGCCCCCAAAAAAGGAATTTCAAGAAGGAACATGGCTTTTGATTAAGAAATAATGAGGAATTCTTAGTGACAGATTATGATATTTAACATGAGACTTGATAGTATTTTAATAATACAGTCATTAGAACCTGGTGAACTGATATTTTGCCATTAAGAAATAGGCATTTCTTTCATAGGTGATATTTGGAAAACTTTAGTCAGCTTCACAAAACTTTGTAAGTCACCCAAGGCAAGTTCCTCCTTTCTTCCTCTTCCACATTCTTACCAGCTCACCATGTCCCACCAATCCAGTGCAGAGTTCCTAATCATTCTGCTCTTACATCAGGGCTGCATTCCCTTCTTTGGCCATCTGGTTCCCCAGAAGGTCTTGAAGGAAGAGATTCAGATTTGGGGACCCTCACATAGTTTYTCTGGCTGATGGTATTCAGATTATGTTCAGAGTCTTGTGTGAAGAAGGGGTCAGGTGGAAGGAGCAATCCATCAACTGCACACTGATTTCAGACGGAAGTTTCGCCATCTGCAGCCTGGATTCCCGCCTGTCTGTAAAAATCTAGCTGTAGTCCAAACCGGATTGTGCCTTCCAAAGAGCAAACACTTGAAAACACAAGAAGTGACGAGCAGGCAAAGAAAGAGGGGCTTCTATGGGGGCAGAGAAGACGTAATTCAAGATGTGAGTGTGCCCAGCCTCCAAAAGCAAAACAAAACGACCACGCAACACACTCCTTACACATGGAAATGTACAAAATCATGCAGAGGGAGGGAATGGGTTTAGAATTTCCTTAGTACTTCCTGCCTCAGATTTGCATTGATAGCCAGAGTTGGGAACATGCCAATTGTTTTAAAACAGCCTTGAAAACTCCCAAGTTCTGTTTTCCTTTGAAAGTTTTCTTTTGAAAAACTGGTTTTCTAAAGTCTTCCAGCAATTTAGGTACAACTCCAGATATTTTCTTTTGCTTCAGGGGGGCAATATGATAGCATGAGACTATGATAAATCCTGTTTGTCTCATTTTACAATGCATAGAATTTTAATCTGTTTTAAATAAGAGAAAAATAGAAACAAGGGACCACACTTCCCTTTCAGTTTTTCTTTTTTATTCTCCCTAATCTTCTTTTTTTCTTTTTTTTATTGGTTGTTCAAAACATTACAAAGCTCTTGACATATCATATTTCATACATTAGATTCAAGTGGGTTATGAACTCCCATTTTTACCCCAAATACAGATTGCAGAATCACATTGGTTACACATCCACATTTTTACATAATGCCCTATTAGTAACTGTTGTATCCCTAATCTTTAGTATCAGTGAGACTGGACACAGTTCTGGGACACATTTTGCTATATTTTCTGTAACTCAGTTATTATTTTCACAACACAAAATTTGGTGCCTTACATAAATAGAACAGGAATGTAAAAAGTTCATTTTTTTTGTTTCCTGTAGAATAAATTCAAAGTTAAAGGAAACACTACATTTATTTCTTTCAACAGCATCTTTCTACAGCATTTTCCTTTTAATTTCTCTCAATTTGGGGAAAAAATAGAATTATGTAATACAAAAGTATGTCTGTGAAGTAATAAAATCTCTTCGAACACTAAAAGCAGAGGTAATGTGTAGGGAGGGATACAAAGTAGGAGGGAGGGCTCAAGTTCATTCCAGGTTTCTCTGGCTTCAGGAATTCTGGAAAGCTTCATTTTTACACTAATGTGATTTTACACAATCCTTTTGGACATTATCAGTCTTTTTGACAG